GCCCGGGCGATGCCGCCCATCCTTGATCATTTGGGGGTCTCTTATGAGACTCCGTGCCGGGGTGGTTTGGGGGCGGGTCTGTGGGGGCCGCCGGCTCCTGCGCGTCCCGCCCATCCTGTCCCGGTTGTCTTACGGCTGCTTTTCCGGTCCCCGAGGACCAGTTCAAGCAGTTCATTCAGGCGCCGCCCATTCCTCGCGCTGCCAAGGGCAGACTGCGGGAGGATCAAAAGCTCTCTTCTACTTCTAAGGCTTTGTTTTCTAACAAAGCTCAGGGCGCGGCTGAGGAGGCTTTGGCCTTTGTGGACCGCGCGGCTCGGGAGGGCATTCGCGCCGTGAATGGGGCGGGGTTTGCTTTGTCCTTCTTGTCTGACGCTGACGCTAACCCAACTCTCGTCCCGGACGCCATTGGCCTCCTTCAGGCGGGCATTGGCCTTATTTCAGACCAGTTTAGTTCCATCGCCCAGGCTGCCGGCGCGGCCCGGAGGGCTAATGTGCTCCGGGCGACGACCGTCAGCCCCGGTCATTTTGACCGGTTTTTAGACTGCCCCTCTTTTGGGGCAGAGGACCTCTTCTTTGGCCAGTTCGCTGCCAAAGAAGAGGCTTGGGCTAGGGAGTTGGAAGCGCGGCGTCAGACTAGGGCTAAGTTCCCGCGCCGTGACCGCCGTTCAGCGCGTTCCCATCGCTGGGCGTTTGCGAGGCCGTCACATCAGCCCCAGCAGCAACAGCCTCTGTTGCATCCCCTCCCGCAGCCCGCAGCCGCTGTCCCTCCTGCTCCTGCTCCTGCCACCAATCGACAATTCGGGGCTGCTCCCTCAGCCGACAGGGCACGGCGTCGGCGGCGGGGGAGGGGTGGGCCTCGGTCCTGATGTTCATGGTGGGGGGCCCGGTTCCTCAGTAGAAGGAGGGACCGGCCCGGTAGGGGGGAGGCTGATGCTTTTCACCCACGAATGGGAACAGCTGTCTCCGGACAGCTGGATCATGCAGACTATATCCCGTGGGTACCAGATAGAGTTTACTTCCCCTCCGGTTGCGTACGGAGGGATGAACATGCCCATTCCAGCCTCCCCCGAGAAGAGGGAAGCCCTGTTTTCAGGGGTGAACGACCTTCTTTTGAAAGGGGCTGTGGTCGAAGTTTTTCCGACTACCGAAGACAAGGGGTTCGTTTCCACACTCTTCCTGACAGAAAAATCGTCAGGCGGATGGCGCCCTATCCTAAATCTGCGGCGGCTGAACCAATGGATCAGACCGCAAAAATTCCACATGGACACTCTCGCTCTTATTCTCCAGGGGCTCATGCCCGGGGACTGGGCCGCTACTATAGACCTCAAGGATGCTTACTTTCACGTGCCTATTTTCCCAGAAGATCGCAAATGGCTGCGTTTCCGTCTGGACGGTCGTACGTATCAGTTCAAAGTTCTTCCCTTCGGTCTATCCACGGCTCCTCGGGTGTTTACACGGGTGGTAAAATCCCTAGGTCCAGTGTTCCACGCGAGAGGGATACGTATTTTCATGTACCTAGACGACTGGCTCGTGGTTGCAAATTCCCGAGTGACTCTGTTGCATCATCTTAGCATTGTCTTAGACATGACGGAAACAGTAGGGTTCATTATCAACCGGGAGAAATCGGTTTTGGTTCCCACGCAACTTCCGCTGTTTCTGGGGGCGCACATCGATCTTGTTCATTCAGTGGCGTTCCCCTCCACGGGTCGGATCAGCAAGTGCCAACTAGCAATCACTCAGCTTCTTTCCCTTCCTCATTCCCCAGCCGAGTCGTGGCTGCGGATGTTGGGGTTTCTCGCGAGCCTGGTAGACCTAGTTCCTTATTGCCGGCTTCGTATGCGCCCTCTTCAACTGCATCTGCTCGCGTTTTTCTCTCCAGCGTCTCGGGACTTGTCAGCTCAGATTCCCTTGAACGCATTTGTCGCCAGGCACCTCCGGTGGTGGCTTCAGGAGAACGTGCTTCAGGGCGGGAAGTCTTTCCCCGACCCTCTCCCCGCCTTTCGCTTTTCGGCCGACGCCTCCCTCGGGGGTTGGGGCGGTTGTTCGCTCATGGAGCGCGTCGCGGGTGACTGGTCGCTGGAAGAATCCACCAGTCATATAAACGTTCTGGAGCTTTTAGCAGTTCGTCGGTCTCTGGAGGCCTTCGTCGATCGGGCAAAGGGGAAAGCTGTGCTAGTTCATTTCGACAGTTCAACCGTGGTCTCCTACATCAACCGTCAGGGCGGCACGCATTCACCAACGCTATGCTTCCATACATGGCAGCTCCTACTTTGGTGTCTCAGCCATCGCATTCATCTTCGAGCAGCTCACATTCCCGGCCGACTGAATGTCCTCGCCGATTCGCTGTCTCGACGTTGGTTACCTCCACTCCGTCCGACGGAGTGGAGGCTGTGTCCGGTCGTGGCCCAGCATATTTTCAACACGTTCGGGCGTCCCAATCTAGATCTGTTTGCGACGAGCTCGAACACTCAGCTTCCGACGTTTTGCTCCCGGTTTCCGGAACCAACAGCGTGGGCAGTGGATGCCCTGTCCATCTCATGGGACGGGTTTTGGGCGTATTCTAATATTTATATTTAAGATATTAAAAGTAGTGAGTAATAATTGTGTTTGCCATTGCTTTGCAGGATTTATTGATGAATCATCTAGGTGTGCTGCCCACCAAAGAGGGCACTTGTATGCTGAACATACCACCACGCACCCTATCGGCCATGGCCCACGTACTGTTGCTAAGGATTAAGGTCAATGGAGATTTCAAGATCTGTGTTAGCCTCTGGGATGCTATGCTAGACACGCTGCTGCAGAAAGTTCTCTCAACAGAAAACATTGTAGATTCTGATGGTAATTACTCAATTAACTTTCAAGATAGAGCAGTATGGAGAAGATCCTGTTATTATAATGTTACATATCCTGCCAATTTTCATTCTTTGAAGTTTACACCCTATGAAGTGTGCCCTCTACATCCTCAGCTGTGATTTTTTTTTTCTCTATTAGATGTGAATGTTGAGTACATGCAGCTGTTGCTGTTTATGTTTCATAGTCTCACTACATCTGTTCAGAAGCGGCTTTTACTGAAGTGTGCTCAATGTCTTGTTAAGGCATCCAAGATCAAGTAAGCTACAAATTGTTGTCAAAATAAGACAGAATTTTTTTCTCCCTCAAGGAATCAAGGAATATTTTTTGTCGAAAATAAAACATGATACAGTCGAAATTTAAATCCAGGTGCTTAAACAATGGATAAAATATACATATAGATAAAAATTAAAAATATATTTAGTGTTATAAATGTATTAGACTTAGTTTAATGTTTTACTAAACTTACAATATATAAAACAAAAAGATTAATGTATACTAAATGTGTATAATGAAACAATAAGGAATACCTGAATAAGTTGATTATTGCAAGAAGGATAATCAGATTTTTTTCAGTACCAGTTAGCCAACACAGTGTGTGCCCTGCCTTAAATCCAGGATCAGGAGGGGAAAAAATGTTAAAATGTTGGGAACTTGGGAACGGTTAATAAAATAGAGATTTTTAACATTTAAAAACTGGGAGTAAAGGGGCTTTACCACCGTTTTTTCTCATTTTTCTGCTTAAAAGAAAGCATTAAAAACAAGCAAGCAAATTACATTATAAAATACATTTTTGTGTTTATTATCATTATTTGATAACAGATCATTATTAGATACCAACTTCTGACGATTTTTATGGTAACTTGTTTGATTCATTTTTATTTTTAAAATATTATTCATGATATTATTCTAATTTTTTTAGGACTCTTGATGAGAAAGTGTCGTTCGCATTAGTGCGACTTGTTCTGTTGTTCGAGTATTTCGTGCATAGCTATTCAAAGGCCTCTAAACCACTATATGAAAACGTAAGTAGCTAAACTTTTTCAAAATTTGATACATATTTATTTATTATCAGTTTGATTCAAGAATCTACAATGGATGAAATGACAAGGATAGTGTTGTACAGTCATGAAAACTAAAAATAATTTATCATGTCCTCTTTTTTCCACTTGAAAACTAGATGCAATGGAATATATTCACGGTGCAGTCATCAGACCCAGCCTACATGTTGTACCAAGATGAAAGTGGCGGTGTTGCCATAACAAAGGTTTACAATCCTTGTAAAGAGGTTGAAGATAATTATAGAAAAGCTTGCAGTATTGGTACTCCAGCAACTGACATCACAGGTGGGATTCAAATACTTTTTATTCATTGAAAATGCTAATGATGTAGCATTTTCTTTAAAGGCAATCTTTATTAAGTGGCACATCCTCATAATATAGGGTCATAATAGTCATTAAATAACATGTTTGTTTGTTTTTTTTTTTTGTTTTTTTTAAAGGAACTTCATTCAAACAGACTTTCTACAACTTGGTGCTGTCAAATGAGACAGGCCAGTCACCACCAAAGACAGATAGGAAGGTAAAAATATTGACATCATTTTTATTATCATCATCATAATCATTATCATCATCATTATTGTCATTTGTAACGTCCCACTGCAGGGCCTCTTTTTAAATCACACCATCTTTCTCTGTCATTCTTTTCCATGCTCCCATACCTTTGCTTAACAGCTCATACATTCATACATCTTGCACTATAGTGTTTGACAAATTAACAAAATAATCTATTAACAGATCACAGCTGGTTTGCACTTCAGTGTTTTATTTATTATTATGACTTAGTACTCCTGAGACACTACTTCATAACAATTCAATTTCATGTAACATATTCAATTTCAAAAGTAGCCACAATTACCAGTCAATTTTATTTTGAAACCAACAGGTATTTCAGATACTCTTTGATAGTAGCTTTGACTACAGTGAACTGTACAGCGCCCTCATCAGATTACTTGGAGCTGGATCTAAGTGTCAGGTGGTGCAAGGCAGTAAAGATACAAGAATGACATATATGGTAAGAGCTCAAATATATTTATGTTTATTTTGTTACAATTTACATCAATTATTGCTGTTATTGTTGTATGTTGAATTAGAACAGTAACATCCAATCAGAATTAAGTATTGGTTTAAGACTTATGTAACAGTTACCACTACCTAACTAAAAATTGCCTGCACTGATGAAATATAAAACGAATGAACAGCAACCGAACAGAGCCACACATAATCACATTATTTTGCTGAAATGGACAGCGTAATGTGTTGTATCAATTGATTGATACTATTAAGTAAAAGATTATAAACAAAAATCTCAAATAGCATGAGAGCAAACATATTTTTTTTGTTGTCTTTATTTAGGAATCCAGTACATTACACTACAGCTTTGTTGTTTGTTGGAGGCTGTTAGGCAATCTACCGCCCTCTGTTGGTTTCATCAAACTGCTTGAGAGTCAAGCGAAGGGCAAGGAACAATTTATGTCTTCAATGGAGATGCAGCAGGCAATGCGATGGATCCCTAGGCTGGCAACTGATGTTTACAAAGTATGGGTGAAGGTAAATTATTTGGATTTTTTAGATGTTTGCTTCATGCATTCATTTTTGCCTTCAAATGATAACCACTTGATCATTTATGTAAATTAAAGAAATTTATATTGTTACAATTCTTCACTTACAAAAATAATAAATAATATTTGAGAGACTTTTACGTTTACATTTGAGCATCTTACAAAATGTTTCGTCGCAAGGTTTCAGGCAGAACAAAACAATTCTCATAAAATAATGTTTTGAGTTTCTAGTAACCCAGCTCAATGGTGTTAGTTTAATAGCTTGTGGTTTCCTTCCAATCCCAGGGTCATGTTTTAAAATCGTATCTCTGCAGGGTTTTTACTTCACAAGTTATATCAACTTCACTCCCTAAGCTTCATAAAAAGATTTAGCTTATGCATCACCATTCCATCTTGTAATTGGTGACTTACTTAATTTTGGATGTGAAAAAATAACTCATGTGAACAGATGTTAGAAATTACAACAATTTTTTCGCCTTAGGATAACTTGTGTGATCAGAGACTGCCAGCATCTGAGGTGAACATCCTACTAACTACCATCACAACTGGTTGCAACTGTGTGGAATTTGAAATCAAAATGCTGGAGAACTTCATCAAGGAACAGGTAGGTTCAAGCATTTCCCCCATGCAGAAACATGTGTATGATATACAATTGAACTTGCCTAAGTCAAATCCAAGATGTCATTGAAATATTGTTCATCTTTCGATAAAATTTGACTTACAGGTTGTTAATGGAAAACACAACAATTTGGCATGTACAGATTAGATCGACTTAGAAGTTATTCGACCTAGGCAAATTCGATTTAGGCAAGTTTAACTGTATATCCTGGATTGATTGATAATGGTGCGGTGGTTATGATTGTCCTCTCATCCCTAAGGTTAAAGGTTTAAATCTGCAGCTGTCTCCTTGGGCAAGGCTCTTTATTTACTTTTAATCTTTCACTAAGCTTCATACATAGGTACCTTGTAGGATGAAAATTAAGAACTTTTTTGTCCTTCTTCAAATTGTTATTTTGTCTGGACCATGGGGAACTTGTGTCTGCCACAGTGCAACATTAACCGATATGTTAGATACAAACAAATTGTCTGCTAAACTTCCCTTGAGAAGAATATTTGAGAAGCAGTCCAAATACAGATCTTGACACCCTAACTGAGTCTTTTATCAGGGTCTACTGTGTATGAGATAGGGATTATATCACTTGTCAAATGCTAATTATTATATTACATCCTAATGAAAAGTGGACAAGTAAAAATGAGGCTACATCACCCACCAATCACAAGATGTTCAACTCAGGATGTTAAAATTTTCAACAGGCTGAGGAGGATGTATCTTAGCTTTAAAAAACCAAGATGTTAGTATGTTTGCCACTTAAAATAAATGTTATAAAACTAAATTACTTATCTGATAACAGATTAAAATAAGGAATACATTGTAGTTACATTATTTTCTACCTAATTTAATGTTTTTATATTCAGTTGGCTGATATTATACCTGCAATTGAAGAGAATGACATAATACCATTGGAAAGGCTGCCGTCTTTCAGAACAATCTGCATCATCGATGCTCTGCTGACTAAAACGTATATCACCTTAGAAGATCGTTTTGCCAAGGCTATGGTAAGTTGTGTTTGTGCACCATTGGGGAATCCAGGGGTGGCAAAAAGCCTTTCTTTCTCCCCTAAATCTCTGATTGCATCTACATTCTCACTATTGAAGTTAAATCTTTAGATTGTTATTTTAGTCCAAACTTGCATTCAAATAGTCAAGGAATACTTAGAATTATGCCAGATACTTTGTTTGCAGAGGTCCCAAATCTAGTGCAGGTCTAAAAAAAAAGTTGTTTCCTGGAAATCATAGGTAATGTTCTCCCGGTAGTGACTTCTTTCAACTTGGGACCTTGTCTATCTGTATATCTGGTGTTAGCCTGTCTATCACTATGGCTGATTTTGTGTAGCAAACTAAATATTATGGTCAAGAATATAGTCTTCAATGTGTTCTTTCAGAGTGATACTGATCCTCACAAGGCTATGGCTGTTGCTAAGGACCTTTTACCACTGATGTTCCAGCTGATTGCAAGTTATGTTACAGTTGCCAGGTGAGACCTAAATCAGTTGGAAATTAATACTGGCACCAAATACTGAGATTTTTCAAGAAGTATTTGGCTTAGGCCTTATTAAATATTCAAGGGTTGATTGAGAGTTGCTCTGTGCACTGCAAGTAGGCCACTCCAATTTGTAAATTAGCGTGGAGAGAGGTATATATTTAAGGTTAAAAAACACATAAAAAATGCAAAAAGAGTATAAAAATGCTGTTTTCAACAACCATATTTCCTTTTCTTGCTATTTATTACTAATGTAATGGGCCAGTGATTTTAAAACTTTTTCTAAACTATTACCCTGATCACAATGTATGTTGCCCCAATGGAATATAACATGAACACTAGTTTTTGAATCAGTATTTTTTATATTCTAGAACATACATCCTATATCAGATATTGAGTCATGAAGACATGAAACCAGAACAGACTGGCAATGAAGCACTCACTTTCTATGACACTGTGCTACGTATTGCATCTGGTCGTGCATCCAAGCTGTCAAATGTTGGCTCCACTTTGATCCTTAACCTGCCAGGACCTGTGCGGAATGTAGTAGAGAAGTGGGGAACCAGTAGCATCACAGAATTCCCGGCCATCAGCTCTTGTGTAAGTGATGCCAAAATATTGATGTTTTTAAAAATATATAAAATTATTGTTTGACTTGCAGTTATATCTTGCAATTATGTACCCCTCCATCCAAACAGCTTTCTGAGAAATTTTGTGATTTACAGAGTTGAATTTCCATATAGTGGTGGCAACTCAATTACGAAAATACTGGGGGGTTTTTTTTCCAAAAAAGACTTATGCCTACATTTAGGAATTCATAATACCAAATTCTCACAATTCTGCTGCTCACATTATGCCTCACCGTAAAGTATTTTTTATTTGCACATGGATACATTAAAAACTAATTTAAAATTGTTTGGAAAATTGCTATCAGTGTGTAGAATCTTAACCACTGTAGCGTACAGTTACAGTATATTGAAACATAAGCCTAGACCTAAATTTCTGCAACATTTTCACAAAAACCAGCCCTGATTTTCGAAATGCTCAGACAGTTCCCTAGACCTAAATGTTAGCATGGGAAATAATATATCCTATGCAGGCCCAACTTTACAATCTGGCTGTTATTCATGCCAGATATGAAATAATGTAAACATTTAAAATATTGTCAATGTGATATTTATTGTATCTTTTTTTCTTGTAGAAGAATGCATTTGCAAAAGATCTAGTTCCCTCTGAGAGTCTGCTCTATGCAACCCAAGCCGCTCACCTAAGCACATTATCAAGTAAGTCCATCCTAAAAAATGTCTTTTCTTAATCCAATTTATTAAATGTATTTTAATATGTATTAATGTACCTAATTATCACGTTGCCTTTGTCTGCTCAGAAACCAGTAGTCATTCTCTTAGGTCTACAATTAGACTGCGGGCCCCTTTAAGTCAGCATTGCTGTTAGGGTCACCTTCATTAAATATTGTTGAATAAAAATTGAACAAAAAAAACAACAATGTTGTTATATGATGTATTTTAGCATAGACAGTCCCAAGCTCTTGGGGTTTTTACCATAATCTTTTTCTAAACTTCATATCTGTTACAATTATAGGGAGATATATTTAATAATATATAAAATATCTTGTTTTTTGTTTAGTTACTTTATGTTTTCTTTTGTGTTCTTATATTTTCTCCATTATTATGTTATATCCTTTGATGTTAATGTCATTAATTAATAGTAACACACAGAATATCAATTATCCTATGTTATGTACCTATCAAGACAGTTCTAATCTAATTGGTAATTTGTGTATTGCTACTCAATACCTGTCCCAATTCCTACACAAGGAAAAGAATGCCAAAAAAAAAGATTAGTTTATGTTTTATGTATTTGGATACATTTACATATTTGAAGAATTGTGAAATATGAATTGATTGACTTATTGATGTTTTTTTTGTTAGATTCAGAGACTACCTTCCCAATTGCATCATCACTAAAACATGCATTGCTGACTATGGTACAGTTTGCAAGAGAGCTACTTGTGTAAGGACATGGTTCTATATTATTTATATTCAGTCTTTACTGTGAACAAATCCTCAGTAAATTCCTTTTTAATTTCAACAATCCCAATTATTGCATACAACCAATATTTTCTCTTATACATTCGGCTTTGTATAGGATGTTGTTAGCAGGTTTTCATATTTCTAGTGATTCCTTAGTCTTCTCGTTTTGTTTTTGACTGAGAACATTTTTATAAATCAAAGGAGTAATCATTGGTGGTTGGTGTGTGTTTAGTTATTTTGTTTACCTGTGTGTTTTTGTAGGCTTTTAACTAGATAAATAAAGTCATTCAATTATAATACCGAGTAATAATAAATAATAGTATGTAGATTTACATAACAAATCATGTCAACAAGGCTTCTATGCACTTCGTATTATTACCCCAGACATGCAGTAGGTCCGGATCAGACTCATGGAATGCCGACTTATCTCCCTCAGAATGAATTCCATAATTTTACAGCTAGTAATTGGTGAATATTGTGCTCGAAGCTACCCCGTACCCACTTTTCTTCCTGGGTGGAATTTAAAATAGAGGTGGGCAGGGAGGGACTTGCACAGGTGGAGGG